CTCTAAAAGTCGGAGGGGCAATCTCTGTGAGAATTTTTTTTTTTTTTTTTTTTTTTGGTACCGAGGCTGGCAGCGGAACCACTGGGCTAAATCGCTGGCCTAAGATTTTTTTTTTCCGCCTTGGTCTTTTTGAGACAGGATTTCATTATGTAGTCCAAACTGGCCTCAAACTCACTTTGTAGCCCAAGCTGGGCTCCAACTCTCAGTAAAACTCCTGCCTCAGCCTCCCAAGTAGTGGGATTACAGACATGCACAACCATTCCCTGCTCATTATGAGAATTTCTAAGAATCTATGACAGGTATCGGAATTAACTCTTACAGAAGGACAAATATATGTAATAAAAAACGGTAAATGTTTATTTTTTAAAAATGTATTACAATAAAAGAATTGCCATTAATATCTCTCAAAGTAAAATCGCAAATTAATTGTCATTAATCCCCCCACTTGGAACACAATTGCCCCATTGTTCGTGCCCCTTTTATTGTTTTTTTGAGACAGGGTCTGGCTTTGTAGTTCAGGCTGGCCTCAAACTCTTGGAGATCCTCCTGCCTCGACTTCCTGAGTGCTGGGATTACAGGGGTTCGCCACCACGCCAGGCTAAAAATTTTTTAAATTTTGTAAAGAATCGAGGTTATAGGTCAATGGGAAGCCCTGGCTTCAATCTCCAAAATCAAAAAAAAAGATAAAAGATGAAGGACACACACAGCACACACAGGGATGCTCTCCCAGACTTTGTACTAAACCACCAAACAAGACCAAATGAAGAAGGTAAAGGATACACTGCTGCTTTTTCTTCTTCTAAACACAGCCTGGCACAGGGTCTGTTAAGACAGTATTCTAATTCTACCTGCATGACCCAGGGGCGGTTACATTATGTCCAGTCTCAATTTTCTTGTAAAGTAATACCAAGCATTTCACGCACGCTTTCAGTTTTAAAATACGCCATATAAAGTGTTTCACATATCGAAAACAAAACCAGCCAAAGAATCAGCCCCTCGAGAATTTTCCTATTCGCCCTTGCTTCCCTCTGCTCAGCCAAATCCGGAGGCGTGCGCACCCACCCCTCTGGGCATGCGCGTCAACATAATGGCCGCGTCCCTTCGTAAGGAAATCAGAGGGGTCAGGGAGAGGTGTAGACTTGCTTCTGCACCACCCTGTGTGATTCTGTGGTTAAAACAATGTAAGGCGTGTCACCTCATAGGTTTAAAAAGCTAGAAAGCGCCGTGCTCTCCTTTGCAGAAGTGCAAAGCTGCACGCTCACAGCTTGGAGGGGCAGGGGATTCTCTAAGCCCTCCCCGTTTCTGCGCCAGAAGCCGGGCCCAGCCACCAGCAGCTAATTGGGGAGGGAGCTGGCCACCTGATCAACTTTTCATTGGCCTACAGTCACAAGGCCTCGCCCGTTCACCCCCTTCCAGTAGCCGAGTGGTTGAGGCCGGAAAATAACGTCTACCGTGATTGGCTGAACACGTCTGTCAGTCTTGGCGTCTCGCGGCGCGCCACAGCTCGGTGAGGCCTATAGAGCCGTCTGGAAGGAAGCCTGCTGCAGGGGGAAGATGGCGGTCGCAGTGAGAACTTTGCAGGAGCAGCTAGAAAAGGCCAAAGAGAGCCTAAAAAATGTGGATGAGAACATTCGCAAGCTCACCGGGAGAGACCCGAATGACGTGAGGTAAGGACCGGACGGGAACGACGAACTCTGACGAGGCAGCCCTCAAGTCGGGGTGGCTCGGGGACGCGGAGAGGGCGGCCGGCCCGCCCGGAGAAGGTCGGTTCACCGAGGCCTGTCCCCCCGACGGCGGTGGAAACCTGGGCTGGGCGAGGTGAGGGAGGCTGCGGGGTGCTGGGCTCTGTGAGGAAGGGGTCGAGGCCTGGCCGCGCTTCTGAGAAGGCCCCGGCTGCCGCTTCCCGCCTCGGCGCTGCGGACCCGGAACTGCAGCACAAAGCCCCTTCCTTCACGGCCCGACCCCTACCGGGCGGGCGCTTGCCTAGGCCCTTCCTCCGCGGGGACGGCGGGAGGTACCGGGCCCGCCTGTTGGTGGGCAGCGGCGTCGAGGTCAGTGTGATTTGTGAAAACTGCCTCTGGAAAAACAAGGAAGCGAGATCGCAGCCCTGTTCAGTTCCAAACACGTGCGTGAGAAACCGTCATTTTAGAACTACTGTTCCTTTTTCCTTTATGATGAACTTTTATACCTGTGAAAGTATTTGGTGCCCTTAGATATGATTTCTGAGGTTTCTAGATGACTTTACGTATGTGATCTCTTTATTAATTGTAAATCTTTTATAGGCCCATCCAAGCCAGATTGCTGGCCCTTTCTGGTCCTGGTGGAGGTAGAGGACGTGGTAGTTTATTGCTGAGGTAAGATTTTTTTCATAGAACTTAATTTTTGTTAAAACTGTTGGTACTGTGTGTATGTGTGGTGTGTAATATATGTGTATGTTGTGTGTGTGTGTATATCTATATATATGTATATATATAGATATGTAGATATATAGGTGTATATATTTTTTTTAATTGGAACGGGGGATCGAACTTAGGACCTTCTGCTTTTGAAGTGGGTGGCTAAATCCCGGCCCCTAATCTGCTGGGTTTAAAAAAAAAACCTGTTGGTTTGGACGAAATTCATAATAAAGCTAATAATAGAATAATAAATGTGTGTTATCTTTGTTTTATGTTATTTATCTGGTAGTTGTCAATATAAATATAATTAACTTGAAGCTTTATGTGCAAAACAAGAGATGGGAAAAAAAATTATTTTTTTTCCTTTTTTGATACCAGGAATCAAACCCAGGGCCCTGGGCTTACTGGGCAAGCACAGCACCACTGAGCTACATCCCCAGATTTATGAAGAAAATATATGTGTGTTGTACAGGGAATCAATATGAAGAATATATTAACTGTGGCACTTTGTATAAACTTAATTGTCTTTTGGGAGTGGGTATCAGGAATCAAACTCAGGAGCTTGGGCTTGCAAGGAAGGAGGCAGAACCACTGGGCTAAATAAATCCCTGGCCCAACTTAGTTTATCTTTTTTTTTTTTCAAACGGTCTCACTATGTAGTTGAGACTGACCTGGAACTCACTGTGTAGCCCAGGCTGGTCTCCGCAGTGACCTTCCTGCCTCAGCCTCCCAAGTGCTGGGATTACAGCATGTGCCACACCACGCCTGGCTGGTTATCTTTTTTAAAATATCATAAAAGATTTTTTTGTGTTTTTTTTTTTTAGTTCTAGAGCTGAAACTCCATAGTAAAGTGCTTGATACACACTAGGCTGCAAGTTAAATCCCCGGTGCCACAAAAATGAAGTGGGCTTTTTGAAGTGAATACATACCCAATGTATATATGTAAGGTTACATCACTTGAAATGTGTTTTGTTTTGTTTTTTGGGGTACCAGCTGTCGAACGTGCATTTGTGAGGCAGGTAGACTTGGAAGATTTTTAAGTCAACTAAGTTATCTTGCAAGATGGAAATAACGTTATCTGATATTTCAATTGCTTTCTGATGGACATTTTTAATTGCAGGCGTGGATTCTCAGATAGTGGAGGAGGACCCCCAGCCAAACAGAGAGACCTTGAAGGGGCAATCAATAGGTATGTTTTGCAGGGGGGAAGCTTCCTGAAGGCATCCTTTTATTTTCTCTATATTTGAGACAAGGTCTCGCTGTGTAGTTCAGGCTGCAGTCCTCCTGCCTCATCCTCCTCAGTGCTGGTATTGCTGGAATTATATGCATGTGTCACCATGCCCAGCATCTTCGTATTTTCTGAGGTAGTACACAAATAAAAATACTATTGTTGGGTTGAGGTAGGTTTTTTTGATGGGGAGAGTTTTGAGACAGGGTCTCCCTCTGCAATTCAGAGTGGCATTGAACCTACTGTGTAGTCCACACTGGCCTCAAACTTGAAGTGATTCTTCTGCCTCAGCTTCTTGAGTGGTGGGGTTATAGGCCTGCATCACCACGCCTGGAAGATTGAGTTATATTAAAATTTAGTAAGCCCTGGTATCTCAATCCTGAAGACTACAGAATGATCCTTGAGGAGTAGAGTTGTGGCATTTTTGTCCAAGCTTCAAGTGATTTTCAAAGCAATTTTCTATGACTAAAAAGAGAGAACCCTTGGCATCTATTCAAATGGAATTCTAATTACAGTATTTTTTAGTTGCACTAAGTATACACATAAAGTGGATCCTTTTTACCCAGAAAACAGATGGTTTTGTTTTAGCTGTATTAACATAAAGTTATATGTTCTACCTTGTTTATTAAATATTCCTTGACAAACTGAGTAAAATTTAGTAAATACCCTTTCCCCTTCGACATCCCTTGATATTTGACTGAACTGAGACAGCCTTCCCCAAAATGCAATCACTTTTTTTTTTTTGGTACCGGGGATCAAACTTGGGACCTTGCGCTTGTGAAGCAGGCAGCGGAACCACTGAGCTAAATCCCTAGCCCAGTTATTATTTTGGTAACCAAAATTTTATCAGTAGAAGGGTCAGAGAAAGAATTGTCAATTTATACCCCTTTTTTGTTTTATATTACTTTGAAAATTTTAACTGGCCTGAGAAATATTTAGACTTATAGGAATACAAACCTTGATTTGGGCTGCTTTATCCTTTTGCCGCCGTAGGAAAGAGTAAAATGAACACCACTGGTACATGCCTGTAACTTCGGCATTTAGGCAGCTGAGGCAGGAGGATCGCAAAGTTTGAGGCCAGCATGAGCTACAGGCAAGACCCTGTCTCAAAAAACAACAAAGAAAGGTAAAATAAGATGGATACTGATGGAATGAGGCTTCTGGAGGGAGTTGTAGAGAAAGTAGGCATTTGCCTTTGGTATGTACTTAACTTCAAATTCTGCATCTGTTATTTAATTATATTTTCTGTGACAGGCTGGGTGGAGAGCGTCGGACAAGAAGAGAATCACGCCAAGAAAGCGACCCAGAGGATGATGATGTTAAAAAGGTATGGGAATTAAAAGAACTTAGAGATGTCAACATCGTAATTTTTTTTAACCTTACTACATTTAAAAACCTGCTACCTTTATGCTAGTTAAATTACTGACATTTCCTCTTTCTTATAGCCAGCGTTGCAGTCTTCAGTTGTAGCTACCTCCAAAGAGCGTACACGTAGAGACCTTATCCAGGATCAAAATATGGATGAAAAGGGAAAGCAAAGGTATCTGTGGATGCTTCACCATGGAGAAATCTATGAAACAATTCAGTTTTAAGAAAAACTACAGTATTTATAAATGCCTGTGCTGTTTCTTAGAAAATGGTAAGTGTAATTAAATGCATTTTATTAAAATTGTTTTTTATTTTTCTCTTAGGAACCGGCGAATATTTGGCTTGTTGATGGGTACTCTTCAGAAATTTAAACAAGAATCCACCGTTGCTACTGAAAGGGTATTTATGCAATTCTATTTGTGTGTATGTATTTATCGGTTTATTTCATGGTACTGGAAATAGAGCCCAGGGTCTCTGCATGCTACACAAGTACCCTTATCACTTGAGTTTTGCTGCCAGGCCCAGTTTGAAAGCTCTCCTAAGACTTAATTGCAAAGCTAAAAATAAAACCAGGTGAAATTTTGCACAGAAACTTTGACATAGTTATGTTTTCAACGTTGTTCATTGAGTGAGCTCTGTATGGCCAAAAGAACTCTGGTCTGTACATCTTGAAAACCTAATTCTTGATCTAAGCTATTTAACAACATCAATGAGTAGTCGTGGGCAAATCTATTTCTTTAGGCCTGAGTGTTTCTTTTAAATAGAGGTCTTTGATCTTGCAATTCAGTGATTGTAATTTTTAAGATTAGTACATGTTTTAAGGAAGTACTTAGCACCCTGGAAGTACAAGGGTGAATATTCCCTGCCCTTCAGTGTATATTCTCTTTCTAGAAGTTTTTCTTGTTTGTTTGTTTTTTGTACTAGTGATCAAACCCAGGACCTTGCGCTTATGAGGTAGGAGGCAGCCCCACTGAGCTAAATCCCCAGCCCCTAGATTTCTTTTGATGAAGCTGTAAAATTAATTGCATCTGGAATCAACCTCAGGTTGTTGCTTCTTAAGAATTATACTAAAGAGAGAATAATTTTATTATAGACGATTGTTGAAATATATCATCACTTAGAATATTAAAAGTATGTTAATGTTTAAAGAATTGATGGTTTTTGGTTTTGTTTTTTTAAATAAGTATGGCTATAGGCCTTTTGATTTGGAAAAAAATAACTGAAATAACCTGAGACAGAACCCTTTTTTAGGTTACCTTTTGTGAAAACTTATTTAAATGTAATGATGGAATGGTGGTTTTATGACTAATGGCCTTGATGTTTAGATAATTATGTGAAAAAGCCAAGGTCCTTACCCCACTGTATTCTCTCTTGCATGATGGTCTGCCCTCCCACTGTAGGTTGTGCTTCTTTTCCTACTCTTACTTGGCCAAAACTTGTTCTGCAGAGCCTTTTTTCTACCTTTAATAAAAACAACATTAAAGAAAAAAATGTCAGTCCGTTTTCTTGAAAGATTGTGATCTGTCCCAAATGCTAAGTGCTAAATTCTGAATAGAAATGAAACACATTTGCAGATAACTTTACATAGTAAAATTGTAAGTTTCACATAATCAGGTTGTGTAATAAGTTCTTCCTAGAATAGAGACCACGTAAAACCTTTTACCTATTATAATACATAAATATAATGTTTGTTTACTTACCTTTAGCAAAAGCGGCGCCAAGAAATTGAACAAAAACTTGAAGTTCAGGCAGAAGAAGAGAGAAAGCAGGTTGAAAATGAGAGGAGAGAACTATTTGAAGAGAGGCGCGCTAAACAGACAGAACTGCGGCTTTTGGAGCAGAAGGTTGAGCTTGCACAGCTGGTGAGTAGTATTTTGGACTTCTAAGATTGGTAACCCTTTGTGTTTACAAAAGCACTGACCTTATTTATGTCTTTTCTTTAGCAAGAAGAGTGGAATGAGCATAATGCCAAGAT